TTAGTACCCAGATGAGCCACAGAGACGTTAGAAAGAATTTTTTCAGTGTCAGAGTAGTTAATAAATGGAATGCACTAGGAAGTGATGTGGTGGAGGCTGACTCCATACACAGTTTCAAATGTAGGTATGATAGAGCCCAGTAGGCTCAGGAATCTGTACACCAGTTGATTGACAGTTGAGAGGCGGGACCAAAGAGCCAAAGCTCAACCCCCGCAAGCACAATTAGGTGAGTACAATTAGGTGAGTACACACACACACACACACACACACACACAGCAGGAAGCAGCCCGTGACAGCTGACTAACTCCCAGGTACCTATTTACTGCTAGGTAACAGGGGCATTCAGGGTGAAAGAAACTTTGCATATTTGTTTCTGCCTGGTGCGGGAATCGAACCTGCGCCACAGAATTACGAGTCCTGCGCGCTATCCACCAGGCTACCAGGCCCCTACCTCTGTGTGTGTGTGTGTGTGTGTGTGTGTGTGTGTGTGTGTGTGTGTGTGTGTGGTGAAAAGCGGGAGCAGGGAGGTGGGGCGGGGGGGGGGGATTACAGCGCCTACAGGACATTCACATTTGCAGTCATGTTCGTGAGTGGTGTTCAGTGTGAGGATGAACACACAGGGTACCGAACCCAGACCTGCTGTGTTGTGTGGCGCTGTGTTGATCCTGGTGACCACACCACGCCACGAGCAGTGACGCACTGTGGGGGAAGGGAGGGGAGTAGTGAAGCCTCTGTGGGGGAGGGGAGTAGTGACGCACTGTGGGGGAGGGGAGGGGGAGTAGTGACGCACTGTGGGGGAGGGAAGAGTAGTGAAGCCTCTGTGGGGGGAGGGGAGTAGTGAAGCACTGTGGGGGAGGGGAGGGGAGTAGTGAAGCCTCTGTGGGGGAGGGGAGTAGTGAAGCACTGTGGGGGAGGGGAGGGGGAGTAGTGACGCACTGTGGGGGAGGGGAGTAGTGAAGCCTCTGTGGGGGAGGGGAGTAGTGACGCACTGTGGGGGAGGGGAGGGGAGTAGTGAAGCCTCTGTGGGGGAGGGGAGTAGTGAAGCACTGTGGGGGAGGGGAGGGGAGTAGTGAAGCACTGTGGGGGAGGGGAGGGGAGTAGTGAAGCCTCTGTGGGGGAGGGGAGTAGTGAAGCACTGTGGGGGAGGGGAGCACGACGTACAGCCGGGGGCGAGAATAAACAGGGATGGGGGGGGAGAGAGAAAGGAGAAGGAAAGGAGAGAGGGAGAGAAAGCAAGAGCGGGTAAGGAAGAGGATAAACGGTAGAGGAGACGTTTGGAAGAATAAGACAAGGATAGAAAAAACAGAAAGGGGGGCAAGGGGGAGGGGAGAAAGTGGAAAGAAACAGTGTACGAAAAATTTATAAACCAAATAGGAAGAAAACAAAGAGAAAGAAAAGAGAGGGAAAGGAGGAAAGAGTGGAGGGGAAGGGAGGGAGGAAGGAGGCCACAGAGAATGGAACTGTGACCCCCCCCACCAGGTACAACCCCCTCCCCCAACCCCCCCCCCCCCCCAACCCCCCCCCCCCCCCCCCCCCCCCCCCCCCCCCCTCCTAGGCCCAAGGTACCAATACCATCCTCCCCAGGAAGTGGGTGTTCACTCACCGTTGGCTCAACCAGTACTCTAGACCAATAGACCTCGGCAGATCGTTAAGAGAGATCGCAAGACGGGGGTATTTACCCCCAACGATCCAATCTCCCAACGACACCAGCCGTGACAAGAGATCAGAATTCCTTTTCATATCGGTCAATCACATTTACTAGTGAGAACGCGAGCTTCTTGTCGTTCGATGAAAATGAATTGTGATCTCTTGTCATTGCTGATATATATATATGTATATACATATATATATATATATATATATATATTATATATATATATATATATATATATATATATATATATATATATATATATATATATATATATATATATATACATATATACTGTTATAAAGTCGGGATACTCACACTGATGTAGAGACAATATTCTTACAAATGTCAGGATACTCACAACGGATTCTCATCCTTTGCGAGTCAGTATACTCACAAAGGTTCACAGACAGTATACTAACAAAGGCTTAGCTTTGAGTTAGTATACTCACATAAGTTTAGGAATTAGGAAAAACCGGAAGATTTAATTGTTTGAATAATACTTCCAAAATCTGTTTTGTGTGTGTGTGTGTGTAATTACCTAAGTGTAATTACCTAAGTGTAGTTACAGGGTGAGAGCTACGCTCGTGGTGTCCCGTCTTCCCAGCACTCTTTGTCATATAACGCTTTGAAACTACTGAGTTTCTGTGAGGTTAATCCCGAGTATTTTAGTTTTAGTTACGACTTATTTCCAGGTACAGATAAAAGTCCGGATTAATTCCGAAGTCCGTAGTGACCTTAATGTGCACATAGTGGCCACAGTGTGCACATAGTGGCCACAGTGTGCACATAGTGGCCACAATGTGCACATAGTGGCCACAATGTGCACATAGTGGCCACAGTGTGCACATAGTGGCCATAACTCAACCCGTCCTCTTAAAAATAACGTCGCTTTTGGCTTATATATAGAGTGCTTTTGTGCTTTGGTCAGAATACCCCCACACCCCCAACATCTTCATCTACTCCCTACCACCTCATCTACTCTATACCACCTCATCTTCTCCATACTACCTCATCTACCACCTCATCTACTACATCCCACCTCATCTTCTCCATACTACCTCATCTACCACCTCATCTAGTACATCCCACCTCATCTACTCCGTACCACCTCATCTACTCCGTACCACATGATCTACTCGGTACTATATCACTTTACAGCATTCTCGTAATCAAACCTTCCATCCCCCCTTCTATCATTCTACAGAATGGTAGAATGATAAGTACTCAAAGTGAGAGATATACACAGACAAATGGAGACAGACTTAAGATATTAAAACCCCTCCCATCAAATCCTCAGGCCCCCCCCCCACCACCCCTCCCCCTCGACATCGATCTTCACTACCCGCCCGATTGAGAGGGTGGGGAGGGGAATCTTCCCCGCCGTTGACAGCGCCGATATCCCCCTCCCCCAATGGCATTTCCTTCCCTAGATTTCTTCCCCGCCGCCGCCAGACATTTCACCTGCCCTCGATAAAGACTTCCCCCCGCCACAAGAATTTTTACCCTCTATATTTCCCCGCATAATGGAACTTGCAAATTATCTGTATCTTGCCGCGGGGAAATGTTTGTGGGGGAAAGACGTGAACGAGGGAGTGGTTCAGGGCCCGGCGGACATATATATATAGCCGGGGGGGGCAAAATATTCTGTTTTAAAGCTCTAGGGAGGGGGAAATTTTTGATCCTCTTGTTGGGGAATATTCCCCGGTACAAAGGAGGACGAGTGAGGGAAGTTCCCCCAGGTCGGCCAAGCGGACACGCAGAATTTCCCCAGCTAAATATTTGTAGTTTTATATTATCGGGGAGAATTTTACGACTGACGGGAGATACACAAGTAGGTAAAGCCCTTGTGGGCCCGCGCTGGTGACTACTGCGGTGAGTGATGCGGCCCTGTGAAGGGGGGATAATCTGGCCCTGTGTAGGGGGATAATCTGGCCCTGTGAGGGGGATAATCTGGCCCCTGTGTAGGGGGATAATCTGGCCCTGTGTAGGGGGATAATCTGGCCCCTGTGTAGGGGGGATAATCTGGCCCTGTGAGGGGGATAATCTGGCTCTGTGAGGGGGATAATCTGGCCCTGTGAGGGGGATAATCTGGCCCCTGTGTAGGGGTATAATCTGGCCCCTGTGAGGGGGGATAATCTGGCCCTGTGTAGGGGGATAATCTGGCCCTGTGTAGGGGGATAATCTGGCCCCTGTGAGGGGGGATAATCTGGCCCTGCGAGGGGGATAATCTGGCCCTGTGTAGGGGGATAATCTGGCCCCTGTGAGGGGGGATAATCTGACCCTGTGTAGGGGATAATCTGGCCCCTGTGAGGGGGGGATAATCTGGCCCTGTGAGGGGGATAATCTGGCCCTGTGAGGGGGGATAATCTGGCCCTGTGTGGGGGATAATCTGACCCTGTGAAGGGGATAATCTGGCCCTGTGAGGGGGATAATCTGGCCCCTGTGTAGGGGGATAATCTGGCCCCTGTGTAGGGGGGATAATCTGGCCCCTGTATAGGGGGATAATCTGGCCCTGTGTAGGGGGATAATCTGGTCCTGTGAGAGGGGATAATCTGGCCCTGTGAGAGGGAATAATCTGGCCCTGTATAGGGGGATAATCTGGCTCTGTGTAGGAGGATAATCTGGCCCTGTGTAGGGGGATAATCTGGCCCTGTGAGAGGGGATAATCTGGCCCTGTGTAGGGGGATAATCTGGCCCTGTGAGGGGGGATAATCTGGCCCTGTGAGGGGGGGATAATCTAGCCCTGTGTAGTGGGATAATCTGGCCCTGTGAGGGGGGGATAATCTGGCCCGGTGAGGGGGGGATAATCTGACCCTGTGAGGGGGGATAATCTGGAACTGTGAGGGGGGATAATCTGGCCCTGTGAGAGGAGGATAATCTGGCCCTGTGAGGGGGGGATAATCTGGCCCTGTGAGGGGGGATAATCTGGCCCTGTGAGGGGGATAATCTGGCCCTGTGAGGGGGGATAATCTGGCCCTCTGAGGGGGATAATCTGGCCCTGTGAGGGGGGATAATCTGGCCCTGTGAGGGGGATAATCTGGCCCTGTGAGGGGGGATAATCTGGCCCTGTGAGGGGGGGATAATCTGGCCCTGTGAGGGGGGATAATTTGGCCCTGTGAAAGGTCAATTAAACACGACTGTATTTGGAACAAGAAAAAGCGATCAAATACTTATGTATATCTATATATATATATATATATATATATATATATATATATATATATATAATATATATATATATATATATATATATATATATATATATATTATAAATATCACAACTGTGATTTTCTAATCTGTGATCAATAATAATTGTTGTCAGGTTTTGCAGACAAAAGTCTTTAATTTACTTCGTCTGTAAAATATCCCTCGAGCTCTTTTGGTCCCGTTGATGTTGGTTACCTGTGTACCTGTCCCACGTGACGGTGATGTCTTCACTATGTCTTGGGAGCACTCTACTGGCTTCACTATGTCTTAGGAGCACTCTACTGGCTTCACTATGTCTTAGGAGCACTCTACTGGCTTCACTATGTCTTAGGAGCACTCTACTGGCTTCACTATGTCTTAGGAGCACTCTACTGGCTTCACTATGTCTTAGGAGCACTCTACTGGCTTCACTATGTCTTAGGAGCACTCTACTGGCTTCACTATGTCTTAGGAGCACTCTACTGGCTTCACTATGTCTTAGGAGCACTCTACTGGCTTCACTATGTCTTAGGAGCACTCTACTGGCTTCACTATGTCTTGGGAGCACTCTACTGGCTTCACTATGTCTTGGGAGCACTCTACTGGCTTCACTATGTCTTAGGAGCACTCTACTGGCTTCACTATGTCTTGGGAGCACTCTACTGGCTTCACTATGTCTTGGGAGCACTCTACTGGCTTCACTTTGTCTTGGGAGCACTCTACTGGCTTCACTTTGTCTTGGGAGCACTATACTGGCTTCACTATGTCTTGGGAACACTATTCTGGCTTCACTTTGTCTTGGGAGCACTATACTATCTTCACTATGTCTTGGGAACACTCTACTGGCTTCACTTTGTCTTGAAAACACTCTACTGGCTTCACTATGTCTTGGGAGCACTATACTGGCTTCACTTTGTCTTGGGAGCACTATACTGGCTTCACTATGTCTTGGGAACACTATACTGGCTTCACTTTGTCTTGGGAGCACTATACTGGCTTCACTATGTCTTGGGAACACTATACTGGCTTCACTTTGTCTTGGGAGCACTATACTGGCTTCACTATGTCTTGGGAACACTCTACTGGCTTCACTTTGTCTTGGGAGCACTCTACTGGCTTCACTATGTCTTGGGAGGACTCTACTGGCTTCACTTTGTCTTGGGAGCACTCTACTGGCTTCACTTTGTCTTGGGAGCACTCTACTGGCTGCACTATGTCTTGGGAGCACTCTACTGGCTTCACTTTGTCTTGGGAGCACTCTACTGGCTTCACTATGTCTTGGGAACACTCTACTGGCTTCACTATGTCTTGGAAACACTCTACTGGCTTCACTATATCTTGGGAGCACTCTACTGGCTTCACTTTGTCTTGGAAACACTCTACTGGCTTCACTTTGTCTTGGGAACACTCTACTGGCTTCACTTTGTCTTGGGAGCACTCTACTGGCTTCACTATGTCTTGGAAACACTCTACTGGCTTCACTTTGTCTTGGAAACACTCTACTGGCTTCACTTTGTCTTGGAAACACTCTACTGGCTTCACTTTGTCTTGGGAACACTCTACTGGCTTCACTTTGTCTTGGAAACACTCTACTGGCTTCACTTTGTCTTGGAAACACTCTACTGGCTTCACTTTGTCTTGGGAACACTCTACTGGCTTCACTTTGTCTTGGAAACACTCTACTGGCTTCACTTTGTCTTGGGAACACTCTACTGGCTTCACTTTGTCTTGGGAACACTCTACTGGCTTCACTATGTCTTGGGAACACTCTACTGGCTTCTATATATATATATGCCTTGGCAGCGTCCTGCTGGCTTCAGTATATACACTGGCGGTTGCATAAATTTCCGAACGCCACGAAACAATTCATTTTTTTTAGTAACACATTTAGGCACATGTGCACTTGTGCAGCTGCCTGAGACTATATGAAGGGGAGTACAGTGTCAAAAAATTAGCTACGTGGTGCTAAAAGTCCCCATCTCGCAGGATGTTAGTCATACAGAGACATGGGGAGTAGAAGAACTCCCAGAACCCCATCAACCAGGTATCAACCAGGTATGTGATCAGTAGCCGGCACTGGCAAACTATGGGTGCATTATGAGGATATCTTCAAGAACACGAGAGTGAATAAAGTAATTACAAAGCTCCAGGTACCTCATGCCAACTGGTCTGAAAGGTCTAATTTCACACTACATCACTGGGCATTCAGTGATGTAGTGTGGGAGATCGTGCCGCAGTTCCTGCTCACAGAGTTTGCACCTGGAGTGCTCAGGATTGGGAGATTAGTCACCTGTAGCCACCTGCCACAGGTAACGGTAACCCAACCTGATCCTGGCAACCACTGTGTCGCACAGTCTGGTCGACGTTTTGTGCTGCCTATAAACATGGGTTTCGGATCTGAACAAATCATAGCTTTTTATACTAGTACTTTCAGGTCGTTGGGAGTCAGTAAGTTCTTTCCTATCAGAACGAAGCATAGCTTTTTATTCCGGTGCATTCAGGCTGCTTTGAGTCAGCAATTTCTCTCTTAGCGGACCTGAGTGTTTAGAATAATATAGTCGTGATGCCAGAGATGGGGAGACCTAGGTATAATTACACTTCATCTTCGTTACACGCTAATTTGGCTACAATATCTGTGTCATTATGATGGGTTATATTTATATGTTAAATGGTATCCATACAAATTCGAAACCTTTTACTCTGTGCAGCAATCAGGTCAAATGGCTAATATGAGGGTTTTGTTGTCGTTCTTGCAGAAGATTTCAGTTGCTTGACGAGAAGACTTTTCATCACAAAATATTATTCCTCCCGCTGTGTTTTGTAATGTTGTGGTAGGTAGTTGTAGTGCTGTTGGTTCTCCTTGTGTGGAGGTCAGCCAGTTCTTTAGCCTGACACTGATAGTCTGTGTGCAAATATTATTTATAATAATATTTCAAATAATATTCTAATACTATTCAATTAACGATCGATGGGATAAACTCTGTGGACGTCCGCCGGATGTTTGACTGATAACCGACCATGTTCTACTGTTATTCAACTCCGATTAAGTTTATAATTTTTAGGCTAAAAAAAAAGATGGAAAGATAAAGATGTTTTTCTCTTTACCGACGGAAGCTTCCTAACAACAAACAAATCGAATTATTATATCTTTTAAGAACACTAGTAAATCTTGACTGACCCACTCACTGTAAGACTTAAATACATCCTAACGGTTTCAATCGCGAACCATTTCTGTATCTTGGATGATCCACGCGCTAAGCTGTGTGAATCTTCTACATGACACACTCAGACCTACTTATAGAAGGAAAACAACATGTAAATAATCTGGGAATTATGATGTCTGACGACCTGACATTTAGTGAACATAACCGAGAAAATATAACGGCGGCCAGGACAATGATAGGATGGATTATGAGAACGTTCACATCCAGAGATCCCACAGCAATGCTAATACTATTTAAATTACTGGTGCTATCCCGTCTTGACTACTGCTCGGTACTCACTTTCCCTTTCAGAGCAGGCAGGAAAGATCTCTAAAAAAGAGGGAATAATGACACTATACACGGCACGCATTGACACGATGAAGCACTTAAACTATCGGAATCGTCTCAAAGCTATCAAAATATACTCTCTGGAATGGACACGAGAGAGGTATCAAATAATATATACATGGAAGATACTGAAAGGCCAGGTCCCAAATCTGCACAGCAGAATAACAACATACTGGAGCGAAAGATATGGCAGGAAATGCAGAATGGAACCAGTGAGGAGCAGAGATGCCATAGGCATAATCAGGGAGAACTGCTAGAACATCAGAGGTCTGATGTTCATTAAAAATATTGCCGGAACAAAAGGGGACTTCTTCAAGAAGCAGTTAGATAAATATTCAGGAAGAAGTGCGGGACCATCAGCGTTGTAGTGGATATACGTGCATGTGGATAGCTTCAAGCAATAGCCTGTTGGACCAAGTTATCACAAGTCAACCCTAGCATCATGCCGGACTTGGGGAGTAGAACACCCTAAACCCTCAATAGGAATGCTCCATGTAGCTGTTCTGAATCTTTGATGGTCACTAACACTAAACTGTTCTGAATCTTGTTTTGGTCCACTCACCAAGCTGTTTTGAATGAGAATCTCGTTAACTCTTTCTCTGGCGTTGGAGAAATGTCATTGCCTGTTCTACATCGAATAAAGCTAAAGAGTAATTTCCAATCACACACAGAGAACAAGTATGAATACAAACACCATTTCATGAAGTCACTCACGAGACAGCACCATAAGCTCAGGTCGTTGGCCATCGGGTCGTCCCAGATATGGGCACCATGCTGAGGGCTGCTGACGGTGACTCACACAACAAAATACTAAAGACTAATTCACGTTGCTACAGTTAAACAAGCTACTTTCCCCTGCCAAATCTCCCTTTCGGGAAGCACCCATCACCAGAAGGGCCTGGCGTGACTTGTTTATGGCGACTTGGATGATAATCAAGATTGTCTTAGCGAGTCCGATGGACACCCGATGACAATCTCCCGTACATAAATACTCGTCATATCTTCTTCAGACGCCACAGGGAGGCCAAAATAAGTTCAGGTGGACTCAGGAGCTCGTAGTCCCGCGGACTCAGGAGCTCGTAGTCTCCACTGTTTACAACGGAGATACGCCGATACCTTCCTGGTATTTAGAGAAGTTTCCCACTCACACGTCTGGGACTGAGAAAGCAGGACCCTCTTTCGCCCCTGTAAGGACTGACCGATAGGCTTGATGGAGGTACCAGCAAACTCGCTGGCTGATTGACTGACCACATATAAACATTTCCTTTGATCATTTTAATGACATTTTCCTTAATGGGAGTTTCTTTTGACTGCTGGCGAGGACTGGGCGTCGTGGTTGTCAACGGGGGAAATGGATTTAATAATGATTTGTCAATATTCAGCTCACTCGGTGATGTTCTAAAAGTCTGTTATGTCGTAAACAATATTATGTGTGGAGATGTACATATATGTTTGGGGGGGGGGGGAGGGTCATATGTGTGTGTGTGTTGTTATCATGGTCACGATGGTTGGCTCATAGTCACACGCACCATTGTTTACCTGTCATTACTAACCATCACCTACCATAAATTTCTATCACTCGTCTTTCTACCACGGTCTATCACCCACCACCACCCCCAACCACAAGCTACCACCATCTACCACCCCCCTACACACCAAACCCTACCACCATCAAGACACACTCCCCCCATTCAGCGTCGCACTAATTACCTTCACAGTCACTGAACAAGCTAGCTTATAAACCAGGCAATTACACCACTCTATTACCATAAAAAGCCAAGATGTCTCCCCCACACACAAAAGCCAGAGGAAAATCCGCCATGTTTATAGGCAATAGCCGGATTTAGTGTCCCCTTGGGTCAGGGATTAATATAATACATTATTCATATAGGAACCTAAAGGCTGCACTTTATGGGCGAGACTCTCGCGGTGTTTTGGGGAGGTTCCTTATTATGGAAATTTTTAAGGGTAGAGGAGTATTTAAGGATTTATATTTGATTTAAGGCACGATGAAACGAGGAAAGTGGGAGATATCTAGGAAGATATCTTTAAAGATAATGAGCTAGGGGAGGGAGAGGGGGCTGAAGAAGTTATTACATGGGTTGATTTATTGTTTCAGAATAGGTAGCAGCGGCTTCTTCAAAGATGTAGCTGTTTCTGATGTTATGGTTTGGTCAGGCGGGCGTTTTAGACGAAGGGAAGTGAGGGGGGATATATTTCAAGGGGTAATGTACTCGGTTATAGCTTATTAGAAGCCGGTTAAGAGGACTGATTAAATGCAAGCTACGTCGTTTAAGAGTATTTTGAGTTTTATTGTGATTTTTTTTATATTAATTAATTTAAATGATATTCGTTGAGACAATACAATACACTTGAAGAACTACGATATTATCTTGCTTGTGTTTGTTTATGTGCTAGAGACAAGTCATGTAATTATAGCAAATAATTAAATTATAAAATTATTATTATAATTTAAATTATAAAAATAATTATATTATAAAAAATAATTATAATTTAATTATGAAAAATAATCAAATTATAAAATTATAACTATAATCCTACTCACCTTGTCCCAAATTATTCATTACAATAATTTTATAATACTAATTTAATTATACAAAATAATTAGAATATGGTTTATTATATATGAGAGAACTTTATATGACGTGTCTCTATGTAACGCTTTATTTCTGAGTAACAGTTTTGACAATATTCTAAATAATATTAACACGAATTAAAGAAAATGAGTAGTTAAGAATAGGCTTTAAAGGTATATTTTAAAAAGAACGATAAATCCATCAAAAGGATAAAGATATCCTTCACGAAATCCATGAAATCCTTCACAGTGACGTGGCTTAACCAATGATATAAAGGAAATATCCTTGAGGATATGGTAAACTCACAAGAAATTAAAAGAATGATATTAGAGCTGAGAGGGTTACCAGAGGAACCAGGAAGAAGTACCTCAGAGTGAAAAGGGAAGCAGAATGACAAATTTTAAGATCAGTGTCTAACCTCTGCTGTTTCGGGAGAATGAATATCAGTTGAAAAGAAAAATTAATAATGAAAGTGAGAACAGGGAAGGATTTCGCCACTGAGAACGACAGAGAAGTGTGTGAGAGGAACTTAAAAGAAGAGTTCAGGAGGTCTTCAGGCTAGAGCGAGGAGAAGTTCTTGAACTAGTGGGGGAATAAAATTAAGCAGTGGTGGAAGTTTTCGAGATGAGGAAAGAAGGCACCTGCTAGAGCTGAACACAGCTAAGATGACGGGCAAGGAAGATTCACACACACACACACACACACACACACACACACACACACACACACACACATATTAGGGAGCCTCGTAGCCTGGTGGATAGCGCACAGGATTCGTAATTCTGTGGCGCGGGTTCGATTCCCGCACGAGGCAGAAACAAATGGGCAAAGTTTCTTTCACCCTGAATGCCCCTGTTACCTAACAGTAAATAGGTACCTGGGAGTTAGTCAGCTGTCACGGGCTGCTTCCTGGGGTGTGTGTGTGTGGTGTAGAAAACAAAAACAAAAAATAGTAGTTAGTAAAACAGTTGATTGACAGTTGAGAGACGGGCCGAAAGAGCTAAGCTCAACCCCCGCAAACACAACTAGGTGAACACAACTAGGTGAACACACACACATACACACAAATGGAATGCATTAGGAAGTGATGTGGTGGAGGCTGACTCCATACACAGTTTCAAGTGTAGATATGATAGAGCCCAATAGGCTCAGGAACCTGTACACCTGTTGATTGACGGTTGAGAGGCGGGACCAAAGAGCCAGAGCTCAACCCCCGCAAGCACAATTAGGTGAGTACACACACACACACACACACACACACACACACACACACACACACACACACACACACACACACACACACACACACACACACACACACATAATCAGCTGACAATTACACAATAGCACCCCGCTATAAAGGACACTCGACCACAGCTAAAAGAGGTCCATAACGAAAGGGGCCACAAATTAAACAGGGCCGCCCCGTCATCCGGCCAAACATTTCCTGAGACAAATGACCGCAATTGCCTTTAACCGATTCTCGTTTATCCGAACGTCAGCGGCCAACCGAGCCTTTATTCTCTTGTAATCTGAAATGGTTCCACTTCATAGAGCTTAAGGCAAAAATGTCTTGGGCGAAAATTTGGTAAGAAATTGTATTTTCGGAGGTTGAGAGAGAGAGAGAGAGAGAGAGAGAGAGAGAGAGAGAGAGAGAGAGAGAGAGAGAGAGAGAGAGAGAGAGAGAGAGAGAGAGAGAGAGATTGTGTGTGTGTGTGTGTGTGTGTGTGTGTGTGTATGATACATTTACCTAAATTGTTTAAGCGGGGATTGAGCTCCGGCTCTTTGGTCCCGCCTCTCAACTGTCATTCAACTGGTGTACAGGTTCCTGAGCCTACTGGGCTCTATCATATCTACACTTGAAGCTGTGTATGAAGTCAGCCTCCACCACATCACTGCCTA